GTAACGAGGTGTTTGCAAAGAAGCAGCCATTGGAGGATTTCGTCGCGTGATCTCTAATTTCACTTCTGTCCCCAAAGCCATCGTTCTCTCCCTTTTTGTTTCCCACCCTGGCATTAGACTGCCAATACTTATCCAGCGTGTTTGATCCATTTCAGACTGAAGAAGTGGGTCGAAATCTTCAGTCCCTTCCTGCCTAGTGTTAGTGGTCAGAGTGTAAATTTGAATAATAGTGACAGTAACTGGAATTCCTTGTAGGCAGATAGATGCTAACTGACCACGGACTTCGTTGTACTTCAAGATAGATGGTGAAATGTTCTTTTTGAGTATGAAAGTGATGCTATTCCTCCTGAATTTGTCATTCCTTGTGGAGGAAACCATCAGGTTGTGTGATTCAAAATGGTTACTACTAGTCCATTTTGACTCACTAATGCCTAGGACATCGATCTTTACACATTCCATTGAGGTTTTGACAATTTCTAGTTATCCCAAATTTATCCTTTGTACATTCCACATTCTGATTATTAGTCGATTAGTAGATTCATTTTGGTTCATGCCCATCAGCAAATGAAGGTCCCCAAAGCTCTCTCCCGTCCACATCATTACGGAGCAGCTGTGCCTGGAGGAAGCAGCTCTACTGCAGGCCTGTTCTGAACGCCTTCCCACCCGAGGGCCGTTGTCAGGCACTATATCTAACAAGGCTTTGCTGCTGTTCCTGAGTTTTCAGTGGTTGATCCCTCAGAGGTAAACAGCCCGATCCTTCGTCAGAGTCGGTTCTGCGTTTTGGAGCTCCTCTGAAACCTGTTTGCCCTGGGGGACCCTGCCGGCATTGTAAAAAAACAGTAGTACAGCACCCAGCTTCACTGCAAGCCACCACAGGAAGGCAAACTAACAAATGGTGGATGTAGTATTTTTACATGGAAAAATTATTTCTTTTTTTTTAAAACATTTTATTAGGGGCTCATACAACTGTTATCGCAATCCATACACACATCAATTGTGTAAAGCGCATTTGCACATCATTCTCAAAACATTTTCTCTCCACTTAAACCCCCGGCATTAGGTCCTCATTTTTTCCCTCCCTCCCCGCTCCCCCCTCCCTCATGAGCCCTTGATAGTTTATAAATTGGTATTTTGTCATATCTCCCTTCACCCACTTTTCTGTTGTCCGTCCCCCAGGGAGGAGGTCACATATAGTTCCTTGTAATTGGTTCCCTCTTTCCTACCCACTCTCCCTCTACCCTCCCTGTTTCGCCACTCACACCACTGGTCCTGTAGGGATCATCCGCCCTGGATTCCCTAGATTTTCAGTTCCTATCTGTACCAGTGTACATCCTCTGGTCTAGCCAGACTTGCAAGGTCGAATTCGAGTCATGGTAGTGGGAGCGGGGAGGAAACATTTAGGAACTAGAGGAAAGTTGTATTTTCCATCATTGTTACATCGCACCCTGACTGGCTCATCTCCTCCCCGAGACCCCTCTGCAAGGGGATCTCCAGTGGCCTACTAATGGGCTTTGGGTCTCCACTTCGCACTCCCCGCATCATTCACTATGGTAAGATTTTTTGTTCTGATGATGCCTTATACCTGATCCCTTTGACACCTCGTGGTTGCATAGGCTGGTGTGCTTCTTCCATGTGGGCTTTGTTGCTTCTGAGCTTGATGGCCGCTTGATTACCTTCAAGCCTTTAAGACCCCAGACGCTATACTTTTTGATAGCCGGGCACCATCAGCTTTCTTTGCCACATTTGCTTATGCACCCATTTGTCTTCAGTGATCCGTTCGACACCTCGTGATCACACAGACTGATATGTTGTTCCATGTGGGCTTTGTTGCTTCTGAGCTAGATGGCCGCTAAAATTATTTCTTTTTATCTGGCATTCAGTTTCAGGAAAGCATGACATTTTAAAATGGTCATATTGCAAAGTAAACTTAACTATGTAGATTAGTGTCACTTAACGTCCATAATATATTCTGTCAGATAGGATGCTCTGTGATTTGGTTGTGAACATCATAGTATATTCAGGAGAGCAGCCCAGCTTCTCCTGCCAGCTGCAATTGCATGTCTGAGATTCCGATCCACCCCCACCTGCCTGCCACTGTACACAGTCACTGGGCAGCCGGCCTCCCTCCCCGCCCCTGCCTTCCCCCACCTTCCCTAATGGTCTTCTGGTGACTTCTCCCACAACTCAGTCTCCTTTCTTGGCCATGTTTCCAGTTCTTTCTCCCACCACTGCTGCTGCCAGACCGCATGAAGGGCAGCCCCCACCATGAGAGGAGCTGTTGTCTCGGTCCCAGGCCTCACACACCGAGCACCAGCCAACGGAAGCAGCAGCCTCATGGGTGGCCCCACGGCCTCTGAGGGCTCCCTGCCTGAAGCAGCCTAAGATGGGTGTGAGGCATCCCCACCCCATGCCATTTCAGGGTGAATCACCGCTTTTAGCAAAGGACACGCGCTGCTCTTCATTCTGCTGTAAGGATTTCTGAACTCTATTATAACCTTATGGGACCACAGTCATCATACATAAGGGAGACTCAAAGAGTTTCTGGAAAATAGAATCAAAAGATAACTGGCATTTCTCCATGAACTCTCCGAAGCCGCTTCATCTGCAGTAGGTGTTGTTTCCTGGATGAGAGGAAGTGGCACAAGCCTGCATGTCAGCAGAAGAGTAGGCTCCACTCTGCTCCATTAGAGGACCTGCCCTGTGCCTGCACCAGGAACTTACAGTTTGTTTCACATTTGTCACTTTAACGTGTGAAGACCGTAACGGCTCCAGCTACAAAGCAAAATTGCCATTAAACTTGCTCTTATATTTCCCCATATAATTCCCTTTAATGGACATCAGTTTTTCTTTGTCTGCCTTCCAATTACTGTCTAATGGCCCTTCCCATCTGAAAAACTAACATTTCTTATAGGGAAAAATCTAGTGTTTATAACCCTCCCAACTTCTGTTTATCTGGGAATGTCGTAATTTCCCCCTCATTTTTGAAGAAAAGTTTTGCCAGATGCAGTATTCTTAGCTGACAGTTGCTTTATTTCAGCACTTTAAAGGTCATTCCATTACCTTCTGGCCTCCAAGGTTTCTGAGGAAAAGTCCACACTTGATCTTATTGGAAAGCGTTGGCACGTCACTGCTCACTGCTCCATCGCTGCTCTCAGTACTTTTTCTTCAGCTGCAGTTTTGAGAGCTTGATTATAATGTGTCTCAAATGGATCTCTTTGGAGATCCTGCTTGGACTTCATTGAGCATCTTAGGTCTGTAAGTTCTTGTTCTTCATCCGATTTGGGGGATTTTTTTTCCTGCTATTGCTTGCTAAAATACTTTCTTTTCTTTGTCCTTTTCTGGGATTCCCATACAATGCATCTTAATTTGGCTGATAGTATTCCATATTTCTATAACCTATTTTCAGTAGACTTATACTTTTTCTCTGTTGTTCTTCTTCAGCCTTTATAATTCTGATTACCTTAGTCTGTAGATTGCTAATGTTTTTTTTTTCTACTATCCCAAATCTGTTTTTAAATCCTTGTAACGCGTTTTTATGTCTTCTGACCAGTCTTTCTGTTTCATTTCTGCAACGTGTTTGTAATCTCATTTTGTTCATGTGTCGTTTTCCTTATGGTCTCTAGTTCTTTGTCCTTCTCTCTAATTTCTTGAGCTTGTTTAATATTGTTGTGTCATATTCTTATAGTTTGTTCATCCTTTGGGCTTCCGTACACAATTTCTGCCTTGTTCACTTGAATGGGCTATTATTTCCGGTTTCTTTTTGTTCCTTGTGATTGTTTTGTGTTAACTCAGGACATTAAAGTTTTATGAGATACTAGCTTTCTCGGTCCCCACCACCTCCATACCCAGTACTCTTGATGATGCTGATTTTTGTGAGAAACTCTTAGACAAGCACATCCTTCCAACCCTGCTCGCCGTTCCCTTTCCCTCCCTGTGACAGCTTCCGTTCCAGTCAGACCCAGGAAGATCAGAAACCACACCAAGTAACCTGTCCTTGGATGGGTGTCGGAGCTCTGGTGGGGTACTGGTTGACAGTCGGGCTGCTAACTGCGAGATCACCAGTTCTAAACTACCAGTCACTCACTCCTAGAGAGTCACCGTCTCCCACACGCACGGGGCAGACCTGCCCTGCCCGATGGTGTCTGGGTCAGCATGGACTTGGTGGCGGCAGTGCGTTGGGGTTCTGTTTCGGT